CCTTCCTTCTCCATTCCTCCTTCCACCCCCAAAACTAACCCTCCCTGCTGTCCTGGTTTTGCTAAGATAGAGTTAAACTATCACACTTGCTTTTTGCCCCAAGCAAGGTGTGTGGGAAACACACCTTTTGGGGTGCAAGGGGGAAGGAAATGGATGCAAATGATGACCCAGTAAAAGCAGCTCCACTCCAGCCAGCAGCCAGGACAACTCGTGTCCAACCACCCCTCACACCCCAGCAAAACCAGAACCAAATTCACCGACGCTCACTCCATGTATGCACGGCCACAAGCCATCTGCCGTGCTCTCCTCTTACCTTCCACGTGTCTTGCAACTGGTTTCACGCCACTTGAAACACTGGTGGCAGTGAACTGAGTCCCACTCCCACCCCACCTGAGCAAATGCACCACCAAGCTCCTCCTGTCTAGTCCGTAGCTAAAAATCCCACCAGGTGCTGCTCACCTGGGTGCTTTCACATTTCATTTTTTATACCCAAGTAGGTATCTTTTCCTTTTATTCTTATTTCAATACCAATTTTGCCATTGGGGTTTGAAGGGTGCAGTGAAAAAGTGCATTGGCTCAAGGAAAAGAAAAAATGTACATTTTTGTATCCAGCAGCTGTAAAATGCCCCATCTAGGGGGCATTAAAACAAGCTGCAGTATCCTCTGCAATTGATGTACTATCTTAGAAAACCACATCCATTATTAGCAAACATAATGTACATTTTTGTATCCAGCAGCTGTAAAAGATCCATCTAGGGGTCATTAAAACAAGCTGCAGTATCCTCTACGACTGATGTACTACCTTAGAAAACCACATCCATTATTAGCAAACACCTTTGGTGTGATGCCTGTTGCAGAAAGGACCTGAATTATACACGTGAATTATATCACAATAGTGCTCAGCCATGCAAAAATCATTATTCCCACAGTTCCACTGCCTGCTATTAAACACAAAGTGGGAAAAGCCCCGAAGAAGCAGCGTTAAGGACACTGCAAAGAGATCGCCTTGCACAGACAACGAGCGGCAGAGCTACCACGGGGCAGGAAATCCTGTGGGATTCCCGGAGGGAAACCCTCCTCACAGCACTTCAGAAACACATCCATGAACTAGAGCAGAGCAGACCCTCCTCCCAGCACCCAGCTCTGCAGCACCTTCATGGAAAACATGCTTCAGCCACCCTTTCTGCACCTCCTCTCCTTGTTTTCTTGTTTAACTTGTGTGACTGCATGAAACCAACCTGTGGGATTTTCCATTCAGTGCCCAGAGCCAGGCTGACCCCGGCTCAGTCTCCCCTGAATCTGTTTCAGGAGGACAGGAGGCAGATGTCTTGAGTCACGATCCTCCTGCCACTCTGAGCATCTCGATTTGCAGCCCTTCTTGTTGCTCAAGGAAAGGGCAAGGGGGTGATAAACAGGGGAGCAATTGAAACAGAGACTTCTTGTACAGCAATTCCTACTTAAACCTCATTCAGAAGGGAAACACTAAGACCATTCAGAGAGAAAAGGCAAATTACAGTTTCTCTACAAGGAGCTGAGAACACGAGGATTCTCCCAATAACTCATAACAAACAGGCTACTTCATTTATTGTTTATTTCCCCATATGAATGAATTAACCATCTCGGAAACTCCATCACACACAGGGCAGAAAAAGTTATTTACAAGAGGGAGACACATTCCCCCAAATAAGTTTAAGATGTACAGATTTATAATGGGAACCAAGAGGGAGGGGAGAGGACAAAACCAAAAACAAGGACGTTGCAGTCAGACTTTGACTTTCAGTTAGAGATCTCTATCTCCGTGTAAGTGGGGTTTTCAACTATTAAATAAATGGCATCTTAAAAATAGAACATTTGACAATTTCAACACAGGTATTATTTCTTCTAAATAAATATTGCATGGAAATGATGCTGCTTTGCAACCATAGCTGCCTCCTCTCCTCCTAGGGCTCAACCAGCACCTCTGTTTTTCCTCGGCTTCATGATTTTCTTTCCTAATGGCAAATGCTATTTCCTCCACTTATGTTTTGGTTTGCATTTATTTATTTTTTTAATTTTATTTCATTTTTTTAAAGGCCTGAACAGGCCCAAGTGAAAATGATGAGCATTGTTCCTAACCCTTTGCAGGCCTCTGACCTGGCTCAAGGTTGAACTACAATGGCTTTTTAAAAAACTACCTATATATATATATTTTTTTTAAACAGTCTTCTCCACGACCTGAAACAAATCGTAGCTTCCTGCTATGGAGCCTGGTACTGATGCTTCCACAGATGAGAGCCCTCAAATAGCCCCCAGGTGCCTGTGACACAAACTGCCCACGACCGCGTTTCCTCCGAAGGCCGGTGGAGTTTGCCTCCCGGTAAATCTCTGCACGGTATCAGAGCACGTGCTGCCTTCTCCCAACTGTCAAGAAGCCAACACCAGTCGTTTATCTGCCTTTGCTGGGTGTCTTTTTACCAACTTTCCTCACCTGATGCCCTTGCAGGAGCTTTCCTAAGGAGCAGGGCAACAGTGTCGCTGTCTGGGTGGCAAAGTGGCCCTGGAGTGGGCGAGGACAGGACCTGGTGCACCCGTGGGCTACACTGAGCTGGGTGCAGAATAGGGGCAGCCGTACGTCCTGCCTCGTGGGTTGCAGCAGGTGTTTCCCTGTGGGACAGACAAGCTGTGACCAAGCAGGAGATGGGTTTATGTGAAATTAAAAGTACTGGGGGGATCCGTGTCCCTGCTCCACCTTACGCTTATCCCTAATGCGCTGCTACGGTTCTTGCAGACTCCCACAGTGGTTTTCAGGTTCAATAAAGCTTCTTCCTTCCTTCCTTCCTCCTCCCTCAGCTGGTGATGCTAAAACTAGCTTTGTTTGAAGACAAAGTCAGATAAAAGGCATCGACCCACCAGTCTGGAATCGAGCTTCAAAGTGCACATCAAGCCTTGAGGCCGGCTGGCCATCCCCATGCTTCCTGAGAACATAAGAGTTAACGCTGAGCTCCTCTCTGTCCCTGGCTTACTCAGAGCAGCGGCTCCTCCAGGGAGGAGGAGGAGCCCAAGTGAAGTTTGAAAGGTAAAAACAGGGAGGGGGCAACATGGACCTTCCTTCCACTGGTTAGGACAGCTTATCCCTGAAATGCACTAAGGCTTTTAATAAAGTGAACATAAAAGGACAGTCCCTTGAAGGTGCGGGAAGACCCAGCGCTGCCAGGGGAGGCGAGAGGAGAGCTCGAGCAGAGCCGCGGCACGCTCACGCTCCCACCAGCTCCTCTCCTCCGTGGCAGGGGAACTCCTCTTGGAAACCTTTTGCTGATATTTACTGTCCGCTTTTGTAAGCCTCAAAACCACGAGCAAAAGGTGTGTAACAAAGTGGGTAACCCTGCACGCGTGCCGACCTGTTCCTCCATCCTGAAATTACGTGGAAAAGGAAGCTGATTCTTTCCTGTAAGCACAATTATTTTGGGATACTGTCCTCCTCTCCGCCACTCCCACGGGGTCTGTCAGAGACAGGGCGAGGGATGCGAGAGGGGACCAGAGGGCTAAGGCACACTATTAGACAGGAGGATGGCAGGACGCTGCTGTCACACAACAGGAAATCTTTGGGTAGAGAAAGGTGACATCTTACTGAACACACACGTGACATGGACGCTGCCTTCACTGCTGCTGGCATCTGCAAAATCCCTATTTCAAAAATGTGGCTCATGATGAGGAAAAAAATGCTTGCAAACAGCTAATTATTCCCTTTCATGTTCCCTTGATGGATTTCTAAGTCGTTGGGCCCATCCTGTAGTTTGGTTGAGAAAGAGCACGTGAATTATCTTCTGCATGGAGGACACCCTCCTTTGGTACCAAATCCTGCTCTTAGATATTCACCCAGAACAGGCAAATATCCAAACGCAAAATTTGTCTTATGTTCCACATTCAGCCACTTAGTCCCTCCTTAAACAGAGCAGTGATTCCTCCCCACGTAAGCTCTCAGACCCAGAACAACGTCCAAGCAATCACAGTGACCCAAGTACAGCTGCCCACCCCCACCCATCAAAACAACAAAAAGCAACCAGACAAGAAGTCCTCAGCGCGAGCGACGTCCCTCCGCTGCAGAAGAGAGGCAGAGCTGTTTCCAACCACACCTGGTCATTTTGTCACCCCAACTGTGTTTGGCTTACAAGGGCTTCAACTGAGCAGGACCCTCAGTAACAGAGTTCCGAGTGCTAAGGGCGTGTTTGTGTGTGAGTGTGAGTGAGTGTGTGGCAAAGGGGCCCACAGCAGCCAGGACTTCAGAAGTGAACTTGCAGCACCGAAGGCAGTGGCTTCCCCCGATTCTCAGGACAGCAGCTGGCTGACAAATGCAGGAGGGTGAGGTTGGAAAGCAGGCAAAGACAGAACATTTTGCTGTTTTTATTGTAACATAACGCTGCTGGGGACTGACGAGATTGCTACTTGCTATCCGTGGAACAAAGACACCAAAGATTGCATCCGTGCTTGCCAAAAAAACACTTCTCTGACACATCCTCTGGGCACACAACTGTCGCAGCCTGGGGGATGTTGCATAAGAACCTGTGGAGGCAGATTTCCTTCTTGTCGGCACTTCTTCGTGTGTGATTATTGTCCTGCTGGTTATTCGTAATAGAAATGTTTATAGACCGTCAAATACATTGAGCCATTCAGACAATTCATTGCACTTTGTCGTTTTAAAGGAAGGTGCCATCAACGCTGAGGCACTTCCTCCGTCTCTTCTTTTTCAAGGCAGCAAAGAGCCACCCTAAAAGCACAGTTCAAAGTTTTTTTCCAGTGTAACCAGATTCCTTCCACCTTTATGTATTTTTCCTTTGCAGGTGCTTTGTATCCAATATTTCAATAAGTCAAACTATTTCTGAGGCTTCAAAAAGTGCAAAAAAAAAAAATTTAAATATAATAATAATAATAACAACAATAATAATAATAATAACAATAATAATAACAATAATAATAATAATTAAAAAAAAAAATTCAAGGTACTTAAACACCTTAAGCACCAGTTAAGGCGTATTTGTTTCCAGTCTCAGCCATTGTAAACCCTGTCTAATGTAGTGTACCAGTTCGGTCATGCTACTGTTCAGTGCCAGAGCACACGTCGCTGTGCTGAGTTCAGCAAAAAACTCTGGAGAAAGAGGAGGGAGAGAGAAAACATTTAGTTGGTTTGACACAAGAGGCAGGTCTGACAGGTGAGGGGGCAGCGAGAAGTGACGACAGCAGCTCACTGTCAGTCGGCCAGTCCGTTAAACACGGTGTTGATGCAGGGAGCTCAGCAATATGCAAGGTCGGGAAGCGTAACAAGCACACGAGGCAGGGCACGTGAGAGGAAAATGCACTCACACACACACACACACACACACACACACACACACTGAATCCCTAAGCACTGGCTTTAAAAAGAGATTAAGACTCCGTGGTAGGTGGGTGAAAGTCTGGGTGTTCACACCCCAGTCTCCCCCATGTGCTTCCCCCGGATTTTAGACAGGCCAAATTGGAGCGGTTTTCTGAGCGATGCCCAGAAGCACACACAGTTGTCACTGGACTGGTCCCTTTCCTTCCTCCATCCTCAAACCTTGAAGACATCATGATTTCTCAAATGACCAGATCTAAAAATGCATACGGCTTGCCAGGCTATACAGCTCTGATTTGGGTTGCTTATAGCTGGGCACATCAAGACTCAAACAGAGTCCTCCTATCCTGCCACCACCCTGGTGACAGCGAGTTACAGGAAATTATCACAGCTACTCCCTTCCAGTCACCTTTCCAAGACGTTCCTGCATGACCTGCCTCCCTCTGTCCCTCCAGCCTCAGGTACCTTTGCAGAAACTGGCCATTCTCAGCTCTCCTTTTTTAACACCTGGAAGCTGAACGTTTCTGCTTGGCTGTGTGAGGAGCTCTTGAGAGGCTGAGTGCACAACGCTTTCTTTCTAAGACTTTCCAATTCAGAAGCAGAGAACACATTTCCCCTGATTTTCCTGCTTTTGTTTGCAAAAAAAGTTATTAACTGTTGTCCTGCTCCCTTGGGAGTATTTACTACCTCAGCCATCATTCCCCTGCACTAAAACAGCAACACAGAGCAGGTTTTGGATTTAGTCTTGGCTGATTCAAGACTGTGCTCAGGCTGCCCTCCCACAGGTTTTCCTCCACGACTCATTCCTCTGGCTCACCAACCAGCAGCATCCACCATTCCTTCTGTGTGAGTCTTTTATCAGCCTTTTGAGGCTGTAACCCCACATACCACGCAGGAATTGCTCAGAGGACAGCCAACAACTGGGGTTACTTTATACAAAGGTGACTTGCAAAGCCTTTTGAATTTCAGCACCTGCCTCATTAGCCTGTGTATTTCTACAGCCTTCCAACAATTTAGCCAGGCACATCGTGCTCATCTGCTTTTGCACGTTTGCCAACAGTGGCAACACATCCCTGTGCCCACAAAACTTTCATGTCTTTTAGGAAAAACAATGCTGCAAATGCCACGTGGGACGGCAGGTCACAGACTGAGCTGCACCCTCCCTATGGCTGTTGCTTATTCACCGCTGCTGGTACCACAGCACAATGGAACATGTTTAACAACAAAACTCTAAAATAAAACAAAGTAGCAGCAATTTTAGGAAATGTTACTGGCAAATACTGGTCACGTGCCCAGCAAGGACTCCAATTCAAGTGTTGCTGAGCTTCTCTGTTACAGAGAGAACCCAGCTTTGCTGTTTTCAAGACAAAAACACCAGAAGTTTGACAAACTAGAAAACAAGGCTACAGGCCAAAAAGCTGTTTTTAAAGTGAACCAACTCAGAAAAGCCAAGTGCCTCAAAAGGAAAAACAAACAAAAACCCCCTTATCCTTCTTGTGTTACCATGAAGCAAGTTGGCTGGTTTCCTGCACTTGATACCTTCATCCCTTTAGCTCTTAAGACATCTGAGGATACCTTTTAATTGGAACACTTATCAATATATTACCATCAAGTATCTCTGCCAATAGAATCATCACAGAATCATAGAATGCTGTGAGTTGGAAGGGACCCCACAAGGATCAGTGAGTCCAACTCCTGTAACCTGCCAATATGCCATAGCTCTCTATTGCAACACATTTAATGCCCTGATCTTTAGGTATGGGGTTTGCTACGCTGCCCGTTAGGATTTAAGCAAGGATGTGACACACATAATCACAACACATAAGACAGAAAAAACAGAGGGTAAAAACTTACCCTTATTCTTCCTGGCCAGTGCATCAGCCCGTTCCCAAATATCATAAGCATAGAGGATATAGGAAGTGATGTTGACATAGGAAGAGGTGATGCTTGGGATATTAGAGGGGACAGTGACTGAAGAGCCAATGCTGTTGCCACTGCAGTTGTTAGTGTTCGATCCCGGCTGGGAACTCACGGAACCGGCAGGAGAGGGCATTGGAGAAAGAGGAGAAGGTGTGCCTGTGCTTCTGCAGGATAAAGAAACACCATCGTGAATGTTTAACTGCAGAGTTCAAAGTCTTGCCACAAGGCCAGCTTATGCCAGGAGCTATCCAGTGTCATCTGGGCCTGCAGTACGGAGTGGAGCGATGCAAACTGAGATGTGTCCAGCTACGTAACAACTAATTGTCCTTTGAGTGCAAGGCCAAGGATTTAAGTGATTTGTGACTCCTCTTGACAAAAGAAAATGTGGGACCTGACATCAGAAAGGGCCACCCATCCACCTTCCAAAATCTACACCTACTTGCAGAAGGCTTCACCGGGTTATCTATCAAGTGTTTATTTCCTAATTACTTCCATTTCAGGCACGCTGAAGCTCCCCACCTCTGGAGGCTGGAGCTGTCTGACAGCCAGCTCAGCCTACACACACTTATTTATAGACCTAGGGAAGCTAAATGGGGTCAGCTGCCCACCTTCCAGGCACAGGCTGGCTCCATCACATCGCCTCACCCCCACCAATTAATTCACCCAACTTCATTTTAGTGACTGGGATGAGAGGGCTTCCACCACTCCTCTTGGGAGGGCGTTTCCAATAAACTAGACTGTGCAAGGTGGTAGAAAAATAACTGGAATTTCAGCATCACTATTAAAGACCAAGCAACCCTCTCTCAGGTGCAGAGTTTGAAAGGGACAGAGGTGAAGCCAGGTAGCTCCCTGCCAAATGCAATTAGCACAGCACCCAGAAAAACTCTTTCTTACTCATTGACACCAAAACACAGGCCCAGTCTGCTGGGCATTGGGTCCAACACTTATATGACAGTCTGCCTTTTGCTGCCACAGGCACAGCAACACTGCTGTGGATACATAGCGAGGAGAAAATGCTCAATAACTCACTAATTAGAAATTAATTTCTTAATTGGTGACTGAGCTAAAGGGAAAAATATGAAAGTATTTGACCTCAAAGTTATACTACCACAGTGGTACCATAAGGCATAACTCTACTGGACGGTGGTCAGGGAGGTGGGGATCATATCTCATTAAGTCTTGAGGGATCTTTAAACAGAAGAAAAATGACAAAAACAGGGGCTCTGAAACAGCACAGTGATGATAACTTCCTTCCTTCTCCGATCTGCCTCTCTGGTGAACTGCTCTGTTTGATACGCAGTAACTCTGGACCTCATAACAAAAAAACCCAAACCCTTGCCAACAAAAAAGACAGGAAAGAGAGAGCAGAAACATACTCATGCCCCCTAACACTATTATTTCAGTTGGCAACAAAGAGTGAGTGGTGAGGCACTCAAATGCAGCTTGCAACTCAAATACTCCAGCCACTGTTTTCACTCCTACCCTTATAGACAAATTACAATGTACATTTTTATATATTTTTTTAAATCTTACCTTGCAACACACGGAGAAGGTGCTTGTGTTACTCTGGAAGAACTCTGCAGCAAGGAACAGAACTCTTGTTAGGTCTGGGTTACACAAGACAACACCAGTAACTACCGTAGCCATCCAAGTTGGCAGCGTAGCAACGCGCGTGCCCTACCTTGAAGTGGTCATTCAGGATCCTGGAATATTTTACTGCAGTGTCTTTTTTGTAACGAAACACTGCCATGTGCAGAATGGCCTGGCAGCGCATGCTGTGAACAGAAACACACCCAAACGTCAGCGTGGTGCTCAGCCTTGCAGCCACACCTCACTTGTACTGCAAAAATCAACAAAGCTCAGGATTTCTCCTCATCTTAAAAAAAGACTCTGTGAAAAAATCACAAGGGGGGGAGGAAAAACCCAAAACAAAAAACCAAACAAAACCACAAAGGAGGAAGGGCCATGTCTGGTGTTTAATATCACCAGGTGCCCAGGCTCCTGTAGGTGCCACAGGCCGAGTAAGCCCCTGTTCAGGAGTGTCTCTGCTATGTTCAGCTACAGCTTCAGTTACACGGCTCAAACATGGGCAGCCAAATCACATTCTTTCACCTTAGGTGAAAGCCCTTGTGCGCTCTCAAGTTACCAGCAGATCAAATTTTAGAGCCTGTGCCTTCCACGTGTAGTCCCTTGTGATATCCTGGCTCACTTTAGAGAAGTTCCAGTTCATTCTGTTTTTTATATTGTTGGTTTTTTTCCCCTGCAGAACTCTTGATTCCCATTTAACTAATTCCTTCACCCCTGGAAGCAATGGGTCTTTCACTCTATCACGTCTAAAAACAGAATATGAAGGCACAGAAAAACAGTTACGCACCATAACACGGCAAAGATTTTTTCATATGGAGATGCTGAGGGGTCCGTAAACGATTTCAATGTCATAATGAATCTAAAGAAACAAAACAAACAGAGTCTCGTCAGACATCAGTGCTCTGAAGTCCCATTGTTTATGAAAAAACAGTGCATGCTGTTATCTCAAACATCAGTCCATACGTCAGGAAACCTGCCCTGAGTTCTTATTCCTGGCACCGAGTGCTTTGTATGACCCTGAGTAGAGGACTGGGTCTCAAAATGCCTTGTTTTCCACACAATGGGAACAGATGTGGCCCCTTATGTGACTCACTCTCTTCTTACACTGATTAACGGGCAACATCCCTACAAGTAGATGCTCCCCGTGGGTCATACACAGGCCTAGGGCCCAGAAGAGGAGCCCCTGTTACTGGAGGTGAAATATTAACACAAATGTTTCTGGACAAGACAGACATCTTAATGGAAACGTTTCTTTTGGCAAAAAACAAATAAATCTTTTTTTGAAAACAAGGCAACAAGAGCACCTTGAAAATACAGTCCATCAAAACCAGAAAGCAAACCATGTAATTTAACAAGTTTGAAGTCGACTACAAAATAAAACCTGACAGCTGTTGCAGCTCTAAGGCAAGAAATCAAATCATCTCTTGAAAACACTCACAGAACCTGTAATTGCAATATGAATAAACTGATACCTGTCTCTCTTCTATCCAATACATGGTTCCTTGGCTGTATGTGTCATACTATCTATATACATCTCACTATGGCTGAGAAACTAAATGGGGAAGGTTGCTAAAAAAAAAACCACCCAAGAAAGTGTCCTGGTAGAAAGAAACATGGGAGAAATCAGTAAAGATTTCAAGACCTTTAGGGCACAAACTCTTCTTCCACGTGCTATATTGTTGCTTTATTTTTTTTTTAAATTGAAATCCTACTGAGCTTGCATGCAAAAGCAACTTCAGACCTGGGTAAAGCAAAGAACTCCTTCATGCCCTTGATTGTCATAACCAGTGACCTCCAGTGTACCTCATCTGCAAGGCTCAAACACTGTGGACAACACGGTGCCTACTTCTGATGAGCAACACTGAAATGTTTCAGAGGATTTGTCTCTGGTGCCTCCGGATGGTCTGTCTGTCTGCTTGTACAGCAACCCAACCTCTGCTCCATGGTAGGAATCCAGAGTTGCCCCAGTTCTAAACAAGCAACACAACTAATAAATATGTTAAGGGCAAATGTCATGAAGATGGAGCCAGGCTCTTCTCAGTGATGCCCAATGGTAGGACAAGGGGCAATGGGTGTAGCTGGAACACAGGAGGTTCTGCTTAAACTTGAGAAGAAACTTCTTTACAGTGAGGGTGACAGAGCACTGGGACAGGCTGCCCAGGGAGGGTGTGGAGTCTCCTTCTCTGGAGACATTCAAAACCCGCCTGGACGCCTTCCTGTGTGATCTCATTTAGGTTCCTGCTCCGGCAGGGGGATTGGACTGGATGATCTTTTGAGGTCCCTTCCAATCCCTGACATTCTGTGATTCTGTGATTCCCCTCCAAACATGCTGCCTAACCGCGATGCTTCAAAAACCACTTACTTGACGAGTTCTATGGTGTCGCTGAATACGCTGTAAGCTGATTTTGGTGCTGTTGTATCCGATTCCAAGGCAAGTCCGTATTCGATGAAGGAAAGGGTAGCATCCAGGTACTGAAAGGCCTTTCCAATCTTTTCAGTCTATTGGGAAGAAAATTCTCATTTTTAGATTAAGACAAAAACTACTTCTCTCAAGTGTACCTCTGAATTCCTTTTTTCCTCCCTAGTTAGGCAGGATTTGAAGATAAAGATGCAAGTCAGGCCTCCAGGTGATAACTAAAGGGTTCTCAGCAGAACCCCTAATGTGGTCCCAGTCATCAGCTTTGTGTGCTCTGGCTGTTTGTGTCTCTTCTTCTTGCTCAAGGTTTTTCTTCAGTCATTTATTAACATCCCATTTTTTTGGATGTTATTGTCTGGTCTTGGAGGCCTGCTTCATGAGAGGCAGATGGGGCTTTGCCACTGCATCACTCCCTCATTTCACAGGTAAATGGCAAGTAGCAAATGTACATTATCTAATTGAGCCATAATTAGTAGAAAAAAAATGTTCAGTCATGCACGCTGTTAAATTGCACATAGTGGAGAAAGTCAGTTACATCTGCAAAGGACACTTCCAAATCTTGTCCACCAGCAACACAATTAGCATTAGAATCTTGACATTTCAGATTAAACTGTCTTAAAATTAACTGTTCCATTTCTCTTCCAAGGACTTAGTGATAGCTTAGCAAAGCTAACAAGCCTGCTGACCTCAGACATCAGTTCTCAATCCTATTCTCTAGGGATATTCTCTAGATGTGTTTAGAAAAAAGGGAAATGTCTGAATTTTTGGCCAATAAAGACACCCTTCCCACACAGGACTTGAACATACTCAAGTACCGGAACGCAGAAGTAATGTTAGCCAGCAAATCTTACTGACATGCCCTCGGGTACCAGGTCTGAATGCAAGAGCTGGTTCACATTTCTAGCACAGGGCCGAGACTTACCATTGCATCGGCTTTGTGCTTCAGCGTCTTGGCCTCTTCTAAGTAGTATTCCACTGGATGATGCTGTCTGAATTGGGGACAGAGAAAGGAGAGTCAGAAGACAGAGAAAAAGGGCAGGATAATTATTAATTTTACATTCATATATAGAGGATACTATGAGTCCAAACATCCTGTTTTGGCAAGCCTGTTACGGCCTTAAAGGCACGTTACATTTACAATAGTCTAAGTTAACCAAATTAACTAAATTAACATTGTCTCTGTGTTCAGAAATACACAGCAGTTGACTGCACATATAAAATGAACTAATTTCTTAAAAAAACATATGTTAGAATAATACTGAAAACTTACATTTCAAAATAAAAAAACCAACAGAGGTTAAGCTACTATGAAGCCAATTTTACTTCTTCACTCCCATGGAAAGATAGTAATTATGTGATCTCCTATCATTCCTAACACAAAATACCACAAATACCTTTAGATGGAAACATATAGTAAACCCTGCAGTACCACACACTTGTCTCAGACAAAAAGAACTTGCATTCAAGTTATTTGCTTACAAGAGATATGGTCACCAAGGCTTCCACAGGTCTTGGTCTCAATCAACACATAAATGATGATAAAATTGGACCACACACATTGCTGTGTGCTGAGATAATCTATTCACCATGCAAATGGCACAGACACCTGTGCACTAACAAAATGAGCAAGTAGAGTCACATCCTCTCAGAGAAAGTCAGTTGCCTGCCCAGCATCATGTCACAGGGGAGTTTGTCACTTGTTAAGAGTCAAATCAAAACCCATCACTGGTAGGCAGGCACAAGAAAAACCTCAGAGTTAAAAAGTACCTCATTTCTAGAGCAGCTTCCCTCAAAGCAAGAACTGCTGTAATGAGACCTTGGCTCTGTGGTGGGTGGGGTAAGTCCCAGACACGAGAAGGCAGTAGAGGGCAGGTCCCAGATTATCTCTCCCTCTCTCTTTCCTCCCAAAAGAAGTGCTCATTAAGAAGTAGAAGCCAGGGTGGCTGCAGGGCCAGCCTTGCCTTGTGTCTTCAGAAAATACAGACAAAGGGTGTAAAACAAAAACTTACTTTTCCAACTTGAGCTGAGGTGTCCTGGGCTTGGAGGTAACATTTGGCAAAGAAGGCACTGGGAAAGGATTTGTGACAACTCCTGTAGATCCCTGAAAAACCACAGAGTAGAGAGCTGGTTAGAGAGATATATCTAAACCAATTCCAATGCCTGGCTTTCCTAAATTTCAAGAGAAAATGTTTATTTGTCCCAAGCATAGTCTATTCTTCAGGCTCTCCTCCTATTCTTACCTTCTTCCCCAGCATCCCTTCCAATAATGGAAATGGAAACTCAGCTTCTCACCTGACTGCTACTAAGGCTTAATACCATTCCAACTTTTCCCAAAGATGGAGAAATTAAGTAGCAGCTTTCCTTGCACAATGGTTAAGATAGCAACAAGGCTGCAAGCAGCCTATTATTCACAGCCCCTAGGCCAAGGCAGGAACAGGTAATATCCATTCACACTTATTTCCAGTTTAACCACACAGCAATTGCTGATTCTCCATTGCTAACTGCATTATGAGGAATAAGCCAGCAGTTAGAAGCCACACAGCGTGCAGTCTGGCTTAATACACACACACACCCCCCAATATCCTAGACCACGCACACCCAGTTGCTAGTAAACAGTACTATAATTGAATTTTATAACTCAAAAATGCAAAGATCCAGCTGCAAGGATCATAAACAATTTTGTGAGCAAGCTGTAAAACCTTATACTCAGGCTGCAGTCAAAACCACAGGTTGCTTGTTCCTTATTTTTAAGCAATAGTCTCTTTCTTTTTATAAACACACTTATTTTTTACACCAACACTGTACTTGCAGTTGCCTACAGTCAGAAACAGTTACTACCACAAACACGATTCTCTTGCCTTTGGTTTTGACATAAGTCACCCCTCCTCACCATGTTTCACTGGTCACATGGAAACCCATGATAGAAAGTCAGCAGAGAAGTTACAACGTGGGCTTTTGGGCTAGCAACACAGTGTCACAGACAGTCTTTAAAGGGGTAAAAATGTGTCAAAGACCTTTCTCTGGTGGCTGGTTGTACCTTCCTTCCTTTTTAATAGCCACAGAGCATGTTTCTAAAGAGAATGAGACAGCACCCACAAGCCACAGGAAACATCCTGTTTACGTTAAATCAGTTATAACAGATACTTACTTTGAGGCCCTTTGACAGTTCAGTGTGACTTTTCTCCACTTTCTTGTGCTTGGGGAACAAAGGATCCTTCTCGTTGTTCTTGTTCTTGGCAGTGTTATCCGTGGCAGGTCGCTCACTACTCTCACTTCGGGGTCTCTTTTGGGCTGTCTTAGTTGGCTTTGGTGCAGAATGTGTAGGAGATGTGGTTGGCAGTGGGAGAGGTAGCAGATCTTTCTTCTGGGTTTCAGATGAAGCTTTTGATATTCTGGAAATGGGAAGGGAATTCAGCAATTGGGATCAATATAGTGTACATAAAAATATAGGGTTGTTTTGGTTTTTTTAAACTTAGTTACATCATGTACCAATTCTGTTTAAATTCTTCTGGAAGTGTGGGATGGCTTGTTAACATAAAGAATCCAACAAAAGCAAAATGAAACTTCAGGGACTTCATCATGCATTAGATACCACATCTTCAACTGATAACAACATACAAGTAAGTTGCTTTTCAATTAGAATTAAGCCTCAGGATTTATCTTTGGGGTAAAGACTTGCAACCAGAATATCAGGATGTTACAAAAAAGGTGTCCCTCCAACACAGCCTCTTTTCACTGAGAGAGGCAGAGAGGTAATTACAGCAACTAAAATCCCTGGGACAAATCACCCAACAAGGCAAATGAATTGCAGTGCTGCCCCTCTCTCCCCATTATGGTAGAAGATCTCTTCTGTGGTCAGAGATACTCGCCCTGATACTTGATCCTGTACATGCTTTGACAGAATTAAACCCAGTTGTTCCTCTAAGACGTGCCAGCTCAACTAGGCAACACTTACAAAGTTGAGAGGATTCAAGGGAGAGAGACTTAAAATGCTACACTTCTAAATGGCAGAGACTATCACATTTAATAATATGGTGACATATCAGATTTCTGATCACCTGAATTTAGGATTACAGGAGAACTTCCTGCAACTCTAAGCAGCACCAAAGAGCTCAGACCCTTATTTCACTACTGCTCATTTACATCATTTTTATTCAGCTTCTCAGAGTTTCCAAGAAAACGCTGAGCAGTGAACCCCCAACTCATGGACTGCAACATCAGAAGAGGAGAAAATTAAGTTAAACCCAGTGGGAAGACTGAAGTGTGACGTTGTACATCCTGCTTCATTCTACTGTGTGTGGGACAGTCTTCTCCTCTCTTCCACAACCCACTTTTCCCATGGTACAGTTCCTACTCACTGCACACACACTCGTCAGCTCCACTACCTTGGGATGGCTGATGCTCCAGAAAGGACTATTTGACACAGAGCACAGCACACCCTGACCTGAGCCAAAGCCCTCTCTCCCCAAAAATACATCCTATCCTTCCAGCTCCAAGAGTCAGAACATGGCTAAGAGAGGTGCTCATTTTCACTGAGAAAAAGGGGGGAATGAACCCCAGAATTAAAGCCCTTCAATTGCCACCACAGCTGAAATATCCCTTCATCCAACATCTCAGCGCTTTTAAAGAGTATGCCAGTGCTTTCTCTGCAGAAAAGTAGTTTACTCATCTTCTCAGGACACAAACCTCAATGCCACACACCAAGTCAATACCTCAAATTCAAGCCCCAGGCAAGCAGGAACTGAATGCAGCAGCCCACGACTGACACATGAGCCTCTCCTCTTGGGAACACTGCCCATCTGAAGACGTGCTCTTGGAAGCAGGTGCTCTAACAAAGACTTAGCCAAAATGTTGGCGGTACACTGATACACAAATGATGTGGTGAGTTTCAGCAGATCTACCAGAAGCACTGTAAATGAAATTCCTGGCCATAAAGGCCACCTGAAATTGCAGACAGAGAGGTGATTCAAAAGGCATGCTGGTTGTGTGTCCTTAGACACACACAAAAACAACAAGATGATTTTAGTGGTGAAGGGAAATGCTCCCTATCCTCCTATACGTATAAATCTGTTTTCTGGACTGGGCTTTGCACATTTCACCTCTATACAAATCTGGGCCAGTCACAGTGACAAGTCTATTGGCACAGCAGTATCTTGGTTTGGCTTGAGAAAGGGGGAGCTGCACACCCATGTGCTTCTGGAGCATCTCAGTTCAGTAGCCTTGCACAGCAGTGTGATGAGAAAACAGAGCTCTGCTGTATCCATCACATCCACCTCTCCATGTGCAAAATGTGTTCACATTGTCTTCTCACCTTATAAAGACTAAGAGCTTTAAACACATGTGAAGTATCATGACTAACAAAAACCTTTCTGCTACATCCCATGCACTGAGAGCACAACCTTCCCTGAAATAAGTATGACAGCAGGACCCAGAGTGAGGAAGACATAGGCAAAGAAAAAAAAAAGTTCGTAGAATCATAGAATGGTTTGGGTTGGAAGGGACCTTTAAAGATCTTTTGGTCCAACTCCCATTTTAAAAGCATACTAAGGCTTGTTCCATGAAAGCAGAAATAACTGATGCTTGAACCCTCAAGTCTTACTCACCTGCAGTCATAGAATAGAATAGTTTGGGTTGAATGGGACTTTAAAAGTCACGTAGTCCAATCCCTCTACAATGAGCAGGGACATCTTCAACTAGATGGCAAGTTCTCTTGCCATCCCCTGAAACCCCTAAACTATCATGCAGAACAAGCATACATCACTCCCCATAGAACAGCTGCCACTCTCCAGATCATCTAGGGCAATCATCTGCTGACAGATGACCACCACTGTAGCTTGGAGAAGGGGAAACAACTCCTGCATCCCAGCAGGCAAGCCGTCTACCACACTGTCTGCAACTCAACCAACATTTAAATTTTTTGCACAAATTTGCTTCCTGCATCTGGTCTGATAGCTAAACGTGCAGATGGACACCTACCAGCTTAGAAAGCAAAGTTGTACGGGCACAACTGGCAAATTTCTTGCAGCATAAACACATTTTTTGAGCTAGATGTAATGTAGCTCAAATGTAGGATCCAAATCCTACTGCAGGATCAGAGCACGCAGCAACGTGAGTTGCAGGATGGACAATTTCTGTGCTTAAAATGGTGAAGTCTTCATTCCCATCTCAACTGTTAGAAAAGGGAATTAAATAACATTCCCACAGCCACGTGGTTGGTTCCAGGATGTAAAGACAAACGTGCAGTGGATTAAGTTTCAGAAGGCACGTTACGTTATAAGCAAACTCACGAGTATAAGGACAGGAGATACAATTCCTCACCTTAACCTTTTTAAGAAAGACTCAGTTTTATGCATCATTTTGCCATCCCACCACTGTATACTCACTTCAGTTTACTGGAGTCTTTGTTAGCTGAAGACTGCAGTGGTTTTGTTTCTTTTTCTAATTTCATTTTCTTCCTATCAACCTCCTTCTCTGCTTCCCTCTAAAAGGAATAAAAAAAAAGGGGAAAAAAAAAACATCAATCAGGTTAAAAAGTTCATGTAAAGTACAGAGAAACACAGCCAAGTTTGATAGATTCTGGTTAAAAAAAAAAAAGAAAAGATATTGGAAGTGACAAAGTGGAAACCCAGAGCACAGCAAATGTAGATTTCAGTCTCACTGATAAGTATCTCAAAATGATGTTTTATCTATTTTTGCTTGGATAGATTGTTTTGTAGTGACCAGGATGGAACTGCTAAACCTCTCACTGCAAATAGTAATCAAAACCAAGGCACTTCCATTGCTGAAAATAATAATTTCATCTGTTCTGGACAGGCTTTTTTATCATATTCAGTATGAATTGTACTGAAACATATTCCTGGTAAAGTCATGAACTGCAAGCAATTGTGTTTTGTGATGGGTCTTATCAAAGGGCAGGAAAAAACTGCATTCACAGGAGAGTGAGATCACTCACATTCCCTAGATGCGCAGGGTTTTTTGGTTTTATTAACAAGAATCTGATGTAGGTGAAATTTTAAACAGTCAGTTAAAAATCGTTGCCATTATCGTCTAGAAGAAGAGAAACTATTAAGGCAGAGAGGCAGTAATTGCACTCCATAGATCTTGCAAATCATCACCTCACCTGAATGAAAAACTCCAGGATAACTTGCTACAAGGTAAAAAAAGGTAAAAGGTACCATGTTGCTTTTAAAGGGGCACTGCAGTCCTACAAAGCTCTGCTGGGGTTAAAAGCCAGAGAAACCCACAAACGCTACCAGGGGGCTGGTCAGCCAGATGCTGACACAGCCTGCTGCTGGAAGCTCCCCTGATGTAGGAGGGCTGGGGGTTTTGTTGTCTGAGAAAGCTAGTCTTTCAGGAAAACACAGCAAAAAATGTTTTAGAACACCAAATAATTTGTTAAGACAGCTTACAGGGCTTATCATTTGCCCAGCAAAACCAACAACAAACATCTGTGGACAGTTTTGATACACATTGCCTTTGGAAGTGAGAGAACACCTTTATAGAAGGAGTGTCATGAGTCCACTCCCAACCTATGAAGTGGAAATGAACTCTCTGTGTGGGTTTTTCAAACATCTCCACCTCTCACCTTCCTTTTTTGAAGGAGCTTGTTAGGAGTGTCCATGGTTTTCTTCTCCAAGTCCGGCTTCTTTGCACCAGGGAGCTCCTTGGCCTCTGCTTTTTTCTGGTGACTGCCTTTCCCAGGGGGCTCGGGGACTCTTGACAGGAGAGGAAGATCTATTTTCACCATGAGGGACTTAGGGGCGGGGGAGTCCCTCACTGGTGAGAGCAACTTCTTCTCCTTCTTAGGCAAGGGAAGTTTCTCCTTGTGAAAATCCTCTCTGGCTACGATGGCAAGTCTCTGGGTGCTAGCCCCGGTGGGGGTTGTGCCTTGGCCTTGAGGAAGGGGACTGAGAGTAAGAGGCTCCTGGGCACTGCCAAGCGAAACGTCTCTCGTGAGCTTGGGGTCCAAGCGGGGTTTGGCGTTGGCCTGGAGAGAGCTCTTGTGCTTTTTGTTCTCAGGGAGCTCTTGCACCGCAGGCTTTGGGTCTTTTCTGTCACTGGATTTTGGCTTCTCTTTAGTTTTGATTTTTGGCTTGTCTCTGGAAGACTGGTCTCTGACCTCAAAAGGACCAGGTTCACTCTCCACCTTCAGGCCTCCCTTGGGCCCCTCGTGCACCGTTGCCTTGCCAGGCTTTTTGATACCCACAGTCTGCCTGGGCAAGGGCTCCTCGGCACGCACTGGAGACTTCTGGCAGTCGCGTTTGGTTGGAAGATGACCATCCTGAGGAGCCCTGGCTGCTTGGCTGGAGCGCTTGTGATGAGGCTCCTTTGGCTTGGTGCGCTGGTGGGAGGAATTGCTGCTGACGCCCTGGCCCTGCTCCTTGTCCTCATGTCCATTCCCATGGGTGATTTCACTGAGAGTCTCTGTTGGTACTGCTGGTGGGTTCACCTTAGTCAGCCAGTTGTCAAGCTGCCACTTATTTGAAGTAGGTGGGTCAGGCTGCAGACAAAAAGAGAAAGGAAGGATTCAAGACTGATGCCTTTTTCCTGATGGGCTATTCCATCCTAGCAAAGCTTAACAGAACCCAGTGAAGTTTCCCCTTATTGTTATAAAAGCTTCAAAGTGAAAGACTATGAGACAGCGGGGATGCTCTAGTGTGTGGACATCAACACTTCAGAAACACACACCTCATTTTTGCACAGGATCAATGAAACATGTGGCACGGCACTCCTGGATCTCTGCTAGCCCTACCCATCATTCAGTAAGATGGCACTCTACATGAAAGCTTCATCTTGCACATCAGACATCGTATTAAAAACGTAGCAATTGTAAAAAACAGATTAGGTGTTGTCTTTGCAATACTTTTGGGAAGTTATTTGCACACAGCACTGCATGGACAAGGAGCAGCTCTCATATCTCATTGAAGTCTGACAGGTAGGCTCTCACGCTCCTGTGGTTTAACCAAAAGAAAACCATTTATCAAAAGAAATTGTGTGGCTAGCACATCAAGTCCAGCCTCTTCCGAGTCCTCTGCCTACATAACCCAACACTCGCTTCCCTCTGGGTCAAGCGAGGCATGAGCAACGACTGAGGTCTGAAAGCCTCTGGAGTCACAGCCAGATAACATAACGTGGTTGCTACAAGGCCTGGCTAACCTAATAGGCTGACAAATTAGGAGAAAAGCAAACCCAACTAACCCTAAAACAGACAAGAGAAGCTACAAATCGGGGGCATGACTCTTTGGGGACCGATCTGAAAGTACCGCATACGTGTCAGCATCACTCAAATGTGTAGCTCATTATCTGGGCATCAGCAGAGCATGGTTACACTTCCACCCTCACTGATTCTCCCCTGTTACAACTCTTGCTTCTGAGAAGAGCCACAACTCTTCCCTGAAAAGAGAAAGCCTAGTACATGGAAGGTTTTCCAAGACTAATGAATCCCCTTCTGCCATGATTTTCTTCTCTATCCTGTTCATGTGCTTCTAATGTAAAAGAAAAGAAAGCTAGGGCTGGGGGAGGGAGGGAGGGA